CCGGAAATCTTTCATGCCCATGCCCTTGTTCTACATCTCCTTGGGAAAGAAATTCCCAAACGTCATGTAAACCCTTATGGGAATCCTTTCTAAGTCCAACTTTCCCCCTCTAAAGAAAGTAGAGCACAGAAATCTCTTTTCTGTGGCAGGAGTTATTCATGGCAGTGTTGGCCCTAATCGTTTTATACCCCAAATTACTTATAACCTTACCTGTATTAGGGGAGAGGAAACAGAAGGAGGGTGTGAATGTGATTCATCACTTGTTTAGAGACATGAACTTTTGCAGCCTCGGACGAGGAAACAGAAAGCCCATACAGAAAGTCAAGAATAGGAAAAACATTCCAATAGCTGTTCACATGTTATCTAGACTATTTCTAAAATTTAATACAGTTGCTGATAATTTTGTTAATGCTTTCTACTTGTTGACATCAGAGAATATATCCCCAGACTTCAGAGCATTACTATCATGTCAAATGGGAATTGAAAAAAAAATTAATAAAAAAAAAAAGTAGATGGTGCTAATAATCAAACCACATAATTAGTGATTTTGGTGGATCTTGCAAGAATAAAATAATGGATTTCACTATAAAATACATTCAAATAGTAAGCCAATTAGAAACAAAATAAATTCAGTTGGGAGGGACCTCATGAAGTTCAACAAGGCCAAATGAAAGGTCCTTGCCCTCAGTCAGGGCAACCCCAAGCACAGATACAGGCTGGGCAATGAATGGATCGAGAGCAGCCCTGCTGAGGACTTGGGGGTGCTGATGGATGAAAAGCTGGACATGACCCAGCAATGTGCGCTCACAGCCCAGAAAGCCAATCGCATCCTGGGCTGCCCCAAGAGCAGCATGGCCAGCAGATCGAGGGAGGGGATTCTCCCCCTCTGCTCTGCTCTGGTGAGACCCCACCTGCAGTGCTGTGTCCAGCTCTGGGGGCCCCAGCACAAGAAAGACACGGACCTGCTCGAGTGGGTCCAGAGGAGGCCACAAAGATGATTGGGCGCTGGAGCACCTCCCCTGTGAGGACAGACTGAGAGAGTTGGGGTTGTTCAGCCTGGAGGTGAGAAGGCCCTGGGGAGACCTTCTAGCGACCTGGCAGTGCTTAAAAGAGAGGTGGGGAGGGACTCTTGGTCAGGGGTGTGGTGATAGGATGAGGGTTAATGATTTCAAACTGAAAGAGGGAAGGTTTAGATGAGATATTGGGAAGAAGTTCTTGACTGTCAGGGTGGTGAGGCACTGGCATAGGCTGCCCAGAGCAGCTGTGACTGCCCCCTCCCTGGCAGTCAAGGGGCAGTTCATGGATGGGGCTGGGAGCAACCTGGTCTGGTGGAAGGTGCCCCTGCCCATG